GTTTATAGACTGGCATTGCCTAATCACTTACACATTTACGTCAGAAAAATTATTTTTAAACTATTTCACCAAAAATAAATGATTGCTTGCATCATACCTGTCATCACTGATTTTGATGTTTTTCGTGACTTATGGAATTAATTCCTCGTGTGATTATCTTATTAATAAAATGTGATAATAATTGTCATATAAGTCTTTTTCCCTTACATGAACCAAGTAAAAATAATAATTTCAAATCCAAAGCATTGGTTATAGGTTTTTTTTGCTGAATAGAATCTAAAGTAAGGACAGATTATTATTGGCATCACAACTACCAATATAATTTTTATTTTTTTATTAAAACTGTTGCGATTTCTTCAAAACAAATTTATATTTATATCTAATATTGATTTTTTTATTAAAATATTTGATGAATAATTATTATTTTTGTATTATAGATATGTATTACATATTTAATTTACTGTCGTAAAATTATTTTATTTACATACTAAGAATGCGATGAATTTTCAAAATACTTTTATTATATATACCTTTGTCTTTTACAATATATTATAACAAACCAAATACCAATAAGTAAACATAATTTACAGCTATCTCTACGTTTATTCAGTTCTTTCCATTTATTTCAGTACTTAAGTTTTATTCGTGCAATAGACGAGTTCTTTAAACTTTAATAAATACTCTCGATATATTTATTTTTACTTTTCTACCTTTTTCAAAATACGTCACTGAAATACTTTTCTTTTAACGATAGTAAACATCAATCTCCTTTTTAATCACGAATCAGTCAAATCGATACTACACATCCGTGAAAGGCCGAGTAACAGGTGTAAGTAAAATAAATCATTCACTGACATAAACATTATTAACTAGATATCGAAAAACATCAGATAAAATATACATATTTAAACAGTGTTTAATATTTATACTATAAGAATTTATATATTATTCATAATATATCAACAACAACAAAAATGAACTCGAATATATTTTTTCAGATATATTTAGGTATATTAAATGTTTAAAATGATTATTCACATTGTTCTAGTTGATTTATTTTTAATTCTAATTATTTGCTAACTATAATTTAACAAACTACTGAATTGATTAATAGTAAAAGTATGTAACTTATCATATTTCATAATTTTATTTTATGATAGTTAAATTCCTAAAGTTCAGTAAGTAATTCTTTTATTTTATATCTAATCCTTCTATTTAATACTAGTTTTAAGTGATTTAGGTATCGTCTATTTATAATTCAACTGTTAATTTAAATTGTATATCTGTATGTTCATCCATTATTGTATATGCTTTAAGAAAAATCTATAATTTTCAGCTCTTATAGATTTAAATTGAATTAATCAATAATTTCCAGTCATATAAATTAAATTAAGAGTTAAAGTTTATTTTACCGTTCTACATTTTAATGGTTAATAATAATCTTATATTCAATAAAAAGGTTATTTTGGTATAATTTACATATAACAATACAATAATTGTAAATTATTTTAATCTTTATATTTAATACTAATGTTATCTTTACCCTAAACCAATTTGACTTATTTAAAGTTGTTTCTACACAACTAACATATTATTACACAATGTACCAAAAATAACACATTCTTCAGAAAAAATCATTTAAACTACTACCAAACCTAAGTTGTCATTTTCAATTTCAGCAGAATATTTATTTTATTTTAGAAACCTTGAGTGAAGCGATGAAAAAAATAAACATTCAATCATTAGAATTAATCTTACTTATATTGTTTCCTAGTGGCCAAAGTTACCGAGGATATTTTTATTAAAAATGTAAAAAGAATAAACAAACATTGCAATTTTAAATTGTTGTACCTATTGTTCAAAATAACGTTAGACAACATTAAGTATTTGAAATCATTAGTGTATCTGAAAGAAGCATAGTATTATTCTATGATTATAAAATATTCACGAACACACATTTTCGAATGTACATCGTCTTTAAGTTCGTCACTGTACTTTATAAGTTAAGTATGAAATCAATTGATATATTATATCATTGTATATAGTGTACACAAAGAGATTCTAACAATCTGAGTGGAAGCACGGTCTGTCAATCCATATATACGCTATAGTTAATATTTTATATTTTTCTATATATAATACGATAGACTGTAATAATATTTTGAACGATCCATTATGTAATATGTAAATATTAATGGTGAAATGTTTGAAGTCCTGCAAATAATATTTTGTGAATAACAAAAAAAATGATTGTAACCGTTATTTTTTTGTTTTAACATCCAAATTTATAAATATTTTCGATATTTCTAAATTATGATAAAAACAACTCATAAGAAACTTCGTTTTAAGTACTTAAGCTTCAGGAATCACAAAAATAAATTTTATGAATAGTATAAAACTAAAAAAGTCAATTTTTTAAACGTTAATATCGCAGAAAGAAATAAAATATTTTGAAAAATTATATTGTATTATGTCTAGAAAATTCTAATTGGGGAAAAACTTAAACCGAGATCCGTATATTTATTCAGTTTTGTATTAAAACGAAAAAACAAAATAGATTTTATTAAAGTTTTGAGTAAAAATTCACAGTAATTTTACTTTCTTCTTGTGTTTCCAAATTATTTTTAAAAACACTGCAACAATACTGTACCAACCAGATCAAATTTGCTACCAGAAACCCCTTGAGAATTGGAGATTAATGCATTTTTACTGCTATGAAAGCCGAAGGTGACGTCAGACACAAAAACACACACACGCACGCATCATTGGAAAACCAATACATTCATTGCTCCCTTAAAAATATAATATACGAGTATGAAGAACTTTTATTGCTAAGCAAGCCGAAAGTTGACGCCAGACACAAAAAAACCACATCTTTGGAAAACCAATAGGTGCATTTATCACTTCACTCGGAATATCAATACATAGTATATATTAATGTAATATAATCTGCACTCTATAATTATAATTATAATAAGTGAGAATAAAGATTTATTAAAAAAACCCGTGGAAGTTGCTGTGTTCAATACATTTTATAGGTGTAAAAAATAATACCTCGCCATTGTGTGTAATAATAATATTTCACAGCAGTGTATGTGTTAAATATGAATTCACTTGATATAATATTATATCAATACCTATAAAATGCAATTTCGATCGGAGGAATTGTCGTTTTTTGTTTAAATAATACACTTTGTGAATACTTTTTATACAATAATGAGAGCATCGCAAAAAATATTATAGATTTTACACTCAAACCAAATATTTTATAAAGTATGTATATAAAAATAAACTTTGAAAAAGTCAAACATTTCAAAAGTCTGAATAACTATATGTTTAATAGCACAAAAAAGAACCAAAAATATTTTAAAAGCTATAACATATGTACAGAAATTTATAATATAAATACAATTGATAAAAAAAACTGTACAGTTATTCGTTTTTGAATTAAAAATATTTTTAAAAAGACATTTTTTTTTTTTGTCAAATACCGGTTTTTCTTTAGAAATTAATGAATTTTTATTGCTACAAGAGCCAAAAGATGACGTCGAGACACAAAAAAAACACACACATACACGTGTACTCGTGAAAAACATCATTGGAAAACCAATAAGTTAGGCCTAACCTTCGTTCAAAATTTAAAAAAATGTTTTTATTCATTTATAAACTTGCATAATCCCCTTTAGATCAATAGAAAGAAAGTAATGAATATTACATGAAGAAATATTTTACCGCTGCATTTACAACTAATATAGATCATAAACATACTACATAAAAAAATGTACAAAATGTATAATGTGATATTATAACAATAAAAAATAATCATTTGACAGTTGACATCAAAACTTAAATCTAAACATAAATAATTTTTTTGAAAATATGTCGAAACAAAAACAAGAAATCAACGTAATCAACAATTTTTGCCACTCTGTGAAAAAATTATTAACCTATGTATAGAAATTATTATCAAGTGGAACGTGAACATTTTTCAATCATCAGAGGTGTAGAGAATTATAATAATTGTATTAATACTATGAGCTAAGCAAAAAAAGAAGCAAAGAGTTTTATGTCTCGCTGACGAATTATTTATCATAGTCACAAAAAAAAAATGACAGTGGATTTCACTATGATAAGGGTACGATAGTAAAAGTGCGCAAGACGGGGAGATGAAACCTACCCAACGGCATGGCAGTGGGTGCAATGCAAGAATACCCGACTATTGCCCCGTGAACTGCGACAGAGATGTCGATCATTGCAATGCCGGATACACTGACTATTGCACTATTGACCAACATAAATACCGTCCGATAGGTTTTGGGTGTGAAGGATATCTACCTGAAATGCGCAAGTCTGCCCGGGTGGGTCTTGCTACAGGTCAGGTAAAAGAATGGAAGCTGGTCGACGGTCGTGAGGCCTTTTATATGCGGTTTGTCGACGATTATTTCAGCCGGTCTCGTGTCCTGTGACAGACTGGTAGGTTACCGGTGCCGTGTTCTGTGACAGAAACCCGAAACCGAAAAAGTGCAATCGCCGATAAACGCATAAATGATAATTATATAATTAAGAAAAGGACTAGATAATAATAATTATCATAACAATATGATATAGTGATGTAAGGTTGGCGGGAGGGCAGTGGTGTGCGTTATCTTCGATGTGAAGAATAGGTATAAGAAGTAAAACCAACCGTTGAATATTACCATATTTAATCGAACAATAACATCAAATTCGAGACTTTTCTTCTTAGTTCACATAAAGTCCTTAGTCCCCAATTGGGTAACTCGCGGAAATCGGTTATCAAACTATTGAGCTAAATTCTAGATGATTCCTAGAACCAGTGAAAAATATAATAATATTTTCAAAGTCTTAATATTTCTGAATTTTTTTAGTAACCCTATAAATAAAACTTAATGCCATTTTGAAACCTTGGAAATCGAATTTCAGATCAATTACAATAAAAATAATAATAATACGGCGATTTACATATATTGTTATTGTTACAGAATCCATGAGATGTTCGGTGAACGTTGCCGGTCCGACCCAGTGTTCGACGGAACCGGCGTCTGCAGCGTCGCCATTTCCGCGGTCACTTCCGGTGATTGACGGCCGTATCGCGTAAGGCGGCGGCGGTGTCAGCGGCAGCCACTGCTGCTGCTGCATCGCCATGGACCGGACGCCGTCGTGCTGTTCGCAACCGGTGGCCGCGGCGGCAGCCGTGTACAACTACGGCGTGGCCGGCGCGAAGATCGGCGGTTACGCTTCGTCGTACGACAGCCGCCCGCTGTCCACGTCATCGTCGTCGGCGGTCGGCGTGACGACGGTGGTGGACGACGGCCAAGGGTGTTTCTGTTGCGACAGCGACGACGACAGCGTGGAGCGAGCCCGCGTGGCCCACGCCAAGCGCAAGTGCTACAAGAGCTGCCTGCGGAACGCGTTCGTGTGCGCCCTGCTGGTGTCGTACACGTTTGCCGGCGCGCTGATATTCCTCAGCATTGAGGGTGACGTGGACGCGGACACCGTTGACGGTGACGACGGTGGCGGCGGCGGCGGCGGCGGCGGCAGTCCCGTCCGACTGGCCGGTCTGATGCCCGCCCAACAGCAGAACCTGACGACCGCCTTGCTGGCCGCGGCGGCCGCTGGTGAAGAGAGTCGCGCCCGGACCGTGGAGACCATATGGGAGATTACGGTCAACTTGAACATACTGTACCGGGAGAACTGGACCCGGCTGGCTGCGCAGGAACTGAACCGGTTCCAAGAGGACCTGATACGCCGCCTCACGCAGCAGATGGAAATCGAATCGGCCGCGGTCAGCTACCCCACCGGTGGCTTCATCGCCGACCACGGAATTGACTCAGTGGACAGCACCTTCGAATGGAACATGGCCACGTCGTTCCTATACTGTCTGTCCATACTCACCACGATCGGTAAGTCCACAAAACGTAATCGGTATTTCGTTATAATATTATCTTTACTATTATAATATTGTAGTAACGTACAATAAAGCAAAAAAACCATTTTTTGTTTCTGCAAGTAACGATTACGTCATTTTTGTTCGTAGAATAATATGATTTTTAGATTTGCAAAATCATTTTAAGAATTAATTTTAACAAAATAAGGGTCAAGTATGTAACTGTTCTGCTGTATATATAAAATATAATAATATATGTAAGACTGTAAGAGGAATTTCTTATTTTTGACTCTCCCCCCCCCCCTCCCAAGTATCAACTAAATCTATTTTGTTGCCAGAAATCACTCTCAAAGTTGGAAATCGAATCATTTTTATTACTCCAAAAGTTGCAGATGACCGATGAGTGATGACAGACACAAAAATAAAAAAATTTTAAAAAGTACGCACTAATGTAAAATCGATACATTCATCACTCTGTTCAGAATAAGAAGAAATATATATTTTTAAAAGTCAGCCGTAAATAAATATTATGTTTTATAGATAGGTAAGTCGTAAGTGCCTCCCAATATATTTGCTTATAAAAATCAAATTACTCAACTCTAGATTTGCATTAAGAAAGAAATAGTGACCAATGTTCAAGAGCTAGAATAAAATAAGTAATTGCTTAATATTGTTTCATTTGCTCTCAATTATCAATAATATAATAGTATTATATTAACATAATTTTTAATACAATATTGTATTATATTATTATACATTTAAGTATTTAAGTAATATAAATATATAATGGAAAAACAACCCATAAAACATACAATCTCTAAACCCATCATATGCAATTTAACTTTATTTTTTAACTTATTTTTTAGTTTATTCTTTGACGACTAGCCCGCACTGGATATTTACTATATATATATTTTCATAATAACCAAAGTTAATAATTGCTTTATTCAAAAAAAGACTCATGGTAACTGCCTCATCTACACCCCCCCCCCCCACACACACACACACACACACAGAGCTATAGCGATTACTATCGTTATTGCAGTATAAACGTCATGTACGGTTAAATTGTCTACGTCTGTTGTTATTAAAAACAAAACCTTCTTCAGCAATCCCGTGGTCATTAATAAAATAGTATAATATCGGTTTTAAAAACAATATTATAGGAATCCAATATAACGCCGAAGGCCCGACAAAAGATATACCAATAATGGTCGACGTTGTTTATTGTGGAAATTGCCAAGTGTACATGTTAGAATACGCGATACGGTCATGTTCGTTTACCGAAAACTATTGTTAACCAAAAATAATTTTCCGAAACAGCACACCCCTATTATAATAATAATAATATGAATATTTATTTATTCATTCATTACTAAATCACGAAGTTCTTTGTGCATTTCGCCGAGTGTTATAATGGCGCGGACAAAATATGTATTTAAAATTTAAAGTCGTTTAATTTGTGACCGTTTGTTCGGAGTTTCCATTTTTAACTCCGACATTTCATTACGAACGAGCGATATTTATTTTTAATTATTTTATACTTTGGTACACATTATTATAGTTATTAATACACATCGTTATAATATAATATTATTATAACCAGCTGTTATAGTTTTTTTTTCATTTTGTTTTTTTCCAGTAAAATTATTTTTCACCGTTCGAAAACACCGAAAGCCGAATGTTTTTGTTGTATGAATTAAAAAATATATCTACCAAAATAAAAAAAAAATTAGACAACCAAAAATAAACGTTCTTCAATAAATTTCCAGTAAATTAAATTATGCCACGAACAGCGCATAAGTAGTTTCCAGCTGATGCTTTTTCAACAAATAAATTAAAAAGGATCAATTCACTTCAATACATCACTATGAGAGTAAATTAATTTTGGAGTAGGTAGGTACAATAATACAATATTATTATATATTTAGTAAACGCCAATGCACACTATTAATATTCACAGAGATTATTTCACTGGCATGCACTATAATATAATATAATGTATATTGTATAATATTCTCAAATTTTAAATCGTGTTGTCGAATTTAGTCATTATTAGTAATTAGGTACTGAAATATTACTTTATTGGTGTTGATTCTGATAAACCCGTAATGTTTAGCAATAATTTGAATATTTGAGTTTATAAAACAAAAACTACTCTTTTGCCAATATATACAAAATAAAACCAATTAAAAACAAAGATAAAACATTAAAATTAAATTTCTTGGAACCGTTATTGTGATTTTTATTGGCACTTGTGAATTTTATTATTTGATTTACGTTTATTGCCGTGCATATTATATTAAAATATAAATATTGTTCATAAAATATTCATAAAATGTGTAGAATTTCTTTTAATCGAATCCCTTCATCGGCATTTCGAATGTTTTATTTTAAAGAACTCTTATACATATAGTTCATAATACAATTCTACAGAAATCATTTGAAACTCAATCTTATTAAAAAAAAAAGAAGAAGAGGAACAAGGATAATAATAATTAAAGGTATAAATGCAGTTCAGCTACCTCGAGCGAAAAAAGTAAAAAAATAAAATACACAAGAATACTCTTATTTTTATTCGAACAAAAGTTTTGAGCGCGTCACACAATCACGAGATAAAGTCAAATCATAGGCTGTTCGTAATACTTAAGTAGGTAGTTATTTTAATAATATCACAGCTGACTTTAGAATGACAAAGCTTCAACTTCGTATAAGTACGCAGTTTAATACTAACGCCGATATAGTACCTCACACTTGACTGGCGTGTCGTCTGTCATACTATATAATGATAAGAATAAAATATAATATTATATAATCGTCTCGTACAACATATGTGCGAGGTGTGTAGTTGGCAACGGTAAATCGAATGAACGCCTACAACGGTTATGTGCAAATCATATCGATTGTTACTACTAACTTACTGTTCTCGGTTCTTGGGTCAAACGCCGACATGTATCAGTTGAGTATTTCTGTGAGGGTAGATCGTCTTTGCCCAACCTTCAAGGGAGACTTTTATTTTTTATGTATTTACAGTAGTAAAATGGTAAAATTCACGTTATCAAATAAAAAGTGAAAACCAATACAACTGTTAAAAAAAAGTTCAATGAGCCGATCGGAGGTGGAGGGGAGCTCTGGGCTTAAATCGTTTCCTTCGAAATCACTTTTTTCGCTGTGAGAAACTTATCGATTGCCAACTATCAACTCCGCCGAACTTTTTTATGTTGGTTTCGTTCTCACATATATTATATTACACACGTTTGCTAAAAACGTATGATTAGAGGGTAAACAAATTCCGTCATGATCAGTGATCGTTTGGATGAAACGTCTGAATTTAATCCAAAAATTCTGACGTCGTCTTCAATATCGTCGGAAAAAACAACGAATAACCCTTGCCAATCGTTTCATTCAAAACTCAACTTACATTTCACTAAGCACATTCTAAATCCTAATATATTTAATTTACTTTTGTTATCACGTGTAAGCATTGTATTGAGAATTTTAAGAATACAATCTAATTCATACAAGAGTACTCGACAGTCGACTGTACTTTAATAAACATAAATGTAGCATTTATAAAAACTGAAATCAAATCATTATTTTATGTAATAATTATTATTGTATTCATTATTGAATGTCTCATTTTTTTTTGCTCGCCATAATATTTATTTTATAATATGGAATTAATAGTCGGCAAAATTAACATAATATAATATACAAATGTCTGGTAGAATCTAAAAAAATCCGAGCCTCAGTATGAGTGGTTATTTTATAGTAACAAAATTTAAACCTTTCCCGGACGATCATCAGACACCCCACTGGACTGCTCAGTAGTGTGCACTATATATATTGCGCATTAATACTGTTGCTCGTGAGAAGTTTGCTATTTTTTTAAATACTTTTTAATCGGTTGGAAATTGGTAGCTATACCTACCTACCTCCTATTCATTGACTTATATAGTTTGCCAACTCGAATACAGTGCACGACGCATAGCCATAGATTTAACGCATTAATCGCGGTCGCCCTAGTTGTGTGGAATAACTTTGAAAAAAAAACATTAATCGAATATCCTGCCCACCTACAACAGTCCAGGATTATTGTCGATTTCAATTAGAGGGAGAGTTTGAACGGTGCCTGCCGGCCGGCCGAATTATTCGGCAGTTTTGTGAGGTCGACGGACTTAACGCGTAATCCTAATTGGGTAGGCCTTATTGCAGTGGGCTGTAGTGAATCGTCAGACCCAATATGCTAAAGATTGTGTTAAATGATTTCTGGGAAGATATACACATGTACAGCGCATAATATGAGTGTGTATTTCAACCTGTCATCGCCATTTCATCTATTCATTTTTAAACTGAGATGCTCGCTGAGTGCTAAGAAGGATATTATGAATTGTTTGTTTTTTAATTGATTTAAAATTTATAGTAGATAAACTGTATTACCTAATCTTTTAGCATTTTACAATCTGTAATAATTTCCTGAATAATAACTAAACATATAATAAGAATATGACTAAGCAAATATTAAATTAACATAAATTTTAATTTTTTTGTTTATCCATAGCCTTATGACCGGGCTATAGTATCATAGTATATTTTCCTAAGAACACACAGTTTAATAAGCTGGAAGCTATTCATTCGAGTTTTGATTTAAATAAGCCAAAAACTAAAAAAAATCATCTGCCTGCTCAATAATAAAGTAAAAATGAATGGTTCTCATTCGAAAAACAGAATTTTGTAACGCAACTTGCCACAGGACACTGCTTAAAATTTAAGCCTTAAATGGTACAAAAAATCATCAATCGGATTATGAATAACTGCTTTATTGTATAAAATAAGGGGTGAGTGTATTTGGTGAATCGCTATGTATATATATATTATGTGTAAGTTATTCAACTAGAGAGCATTATGTTCATACAGGTAAACAGGATACCATACAGTATTGTGAGTTTGTATGCTGAAAGGGTTTTATGGAAATTTAATTTTACCTCTTTGTTATTAATTTTAAAATGGATAAAA